CTTGAACACAGTGAGATTACATGTATATATATATATATATGTAATCTCACTGTGTTCAAGGCAGCATGGATTATATAGGGGACATATGGGGTCTTTGTAGAAGTCCTCCTGGCAGAAGAAAAACACTGCATAAGGCACCAAGAAGACCATTATAGACAGAGTGATATATTGGACACCATTACAAACCACTGTTTAGCATTCAGCATAAAGCCGGCCACGAGGGAGAGAAAGTAGGGTAAATACAATGGGCAAATCTGGTTAGCCAAAACATACACTGGAATCCTCATTACAATGACAGAGCAGAGGGGGAACAGAGGGCGAGACAAGGGCCGGGTAGGCTTCTGATATCGGCTGCCCAGATTAAGAGAATTTGTTGTTCAGAAAGGAGCGTTTTAAGACAGCTCAAGAGAGAGAACCATTCACAACAGCCCTGATGCTTAAATACAAAGGGTTATACAGCTCAGCTCAATGCGGATATTTACAGGCAGATACAGTTCTGCATTTGAGTCCACGGATCCAATAATGTCAGCTTCTGAATAAAGGCTTGTGTTGATTTTATCACCTTTTAATGCAGCTGTTGTTCAATACAACTTTCAATAAGCATAGTATGCTTCGCTGCTGGGGGATTTTACTCTTCCTATTGATTCACACTTACTGTCCACTGCACAGAGTTGTGTTAAATACAGTGCATGCTAAAAGTTTAGATTCAGCCACATGTCACATTCAATGCCAGACAATTTCCCATTCAGATTAGGGGCGGTTATGGCCCAGAACAAGTTAACAGCTCGCCTGCAGGCCAGACAGGGCTGCTCTAAGCCCATTACAATAAGCCTGTTCACCTTAATGGTTCCAGCAGCCCAACTGTCACAAATCAAATCATTGCCAACACTCCATTTCCCTTATTAAAAATGTGCTGAACATGATGGCTCACACGCTGTGAGGGCTGCATCCATCCACCACACATCAGCAGTATCAACAGACTGTGTATACTGTACTCTGGTGTTATATTTATGCATTCCTTCGTGATGATCTTGAGTGGATTCATCAAATTAGATGTATTATAGGCGTAATCAGAATCGGGTTTATTGCCAGGTACATTTTCACACAGGAATTTGCCTTGGTATAAATTGGTGCTTACAGTACACATGAACATAAATAGAAATATATAAAAAGTAAGGAGATCAAAAAATTTACAAGTATAAAAAAAATATAATACTACTATAATACAGTAAGGTACATTATGAGACTTTGATGAGGATAAAAGAATTTTGGGAGGCATATTAATCAAGCAAGGGAATAATTCCACAATCAAAGGAGAATCAGTCTGTTAGGTCAATATAGAAAAGCATTTCCTTTGATCAATGACAATACTGATTTTTACCATGAGGCAAATAAGAGGTGACACAAGCAGAAAACACCATATTGAATCCATTATCAAACAATTAAAGATAAAGAAATATGAATCACCAGCATGGCAGCAGGTTATCTGTCTTACTGCTGCATCAGACAGTGATGACAGACATCAGGTCAAAGTTCAGGTAGGATACTCCTGCAACCCAGAAAGTTATTGAAGCAACCTAATGAGGTGCTGATGGCAGTGAGGGGGGGCACAGACCAGGAGCAGCAGTTACTCAGCAGTTGTCACAGATAGGAAGCCTCAAGTTGATGTGATGTCTCCTGCCAGTTTGTTATCATGCCTGTTACACCATTGTACAACTGAGGCCAAATAAATGTGATTTTTGAACTCACTCGGCGGAGAGAAAAGACAAGGAGAGAGACAGGGAAGAAACCACCAACTCTCTACCTACCCCGATCTCAAAAGAAAAAAAACCCTACATTTTCTGTTGCGTTCAGTCTGCACGGAGCTCAGACGACACCAAGAATGAAATCAGTTGCATGATATGAGAGTCCATGATGTCTGAATGTAAAGAAAAGGGCCATTTTGTGAGGCGGGTACTGAGAGCAAGGCTCAGACATATCTGTCAGCTAGATTCAGGATCATCTTTAGCACAAGAAAAATCATCTCCACCTTCATTTTTTTTTTTTTACAACAGTACATCTCTCTTGATCAGAATTTATAATTAATGTAGCCTTTCACTGATAAAATAATGCACATTTCCAATTTGCCTGTTTCACATTACAGCCTGAGTAGTCGTCTAACAGCTTAACAACCAGCGTAATGACTGTAATTTATGAGAAAGCATTACTGCATCATAACACACTACATCAGCCAGAAGAAATTAATTAACATCTTTCTGAAGGGTGCAAAGTTACCTTCGTCTACTGTGCAAAGTCACAGAAAAAGAAGAATAGTCTCAATTACATTTAAATTTCACTTAAAATTCATCTGCAAAATGAATGCTCAGATTCCAACAAAGAAACTTGAAAGTGAGTGCAGCTGACCAAAGGTAAGAGAGTGCAGCTCATAGTTAGTAAGTCAGACCAAATCAGTGCCTTGATGCGTGCAAGAGTCCAGCATGACAAGTTGTTGGTGACCAAAATGCTTCCACGCTACTGACCGAATCGCCAAACCCACACAGAGCAAAATATTCTAACTGACTTGCAGATTAAAACAAACTGTCCAAAAAACATTTGGAGAAAATATGAGACAAATGAGAAAATAATTGAATGCAATCAAACTATTACAGCATCATCTGATAATTTTTCTTTTTCTACAAATGTCCATGCGGAGAGGACCCATCCATTAGGTGTGATAGCTGCAAAGATAAGCATGAATCCATTTTGGCAATATGGTCTAATGGTTTCATGAACATCCATTAAAGCATATATGAAAATATAAGCATGGAACCAAATTAGCACTACACTGTAATGTGGTGTAATGTGCATCTTTATTATATTCAACTTGATTGATGATCAATCTTTGCAACAACATGAGCAATTAACCCATAATGGACAGGGGAGAGATCAGTCTCTTACCTCTGTCGGTCGCGTTGGGAGGTTTTTCTATCCTGCTGTCTCTTCTCTCCGCTGGTGTCCGTGAAATATTTACCCACTCAAAGAGGTATACTGCCAGCCGTCAACGCTTGATGCTCATGAAAAAAGATCATCCTGAAAAAATGGCTTGGAGACATGCCAAAAATATGTCAAAAAGAGGAGGGTAAATAATAAGGCAATAATTCTTGCAGTTATTGAAATATTAAATAGCCAATAAGTGTATGGTTGTCTGGTGACAGTGGAGAGGTGCTTGTGTTGATGGATGGGAGAGGAGCTCTCACTGAGACTGAGTGAGTGAGTGAGTGAGTGAGAGAGTGAGGGGGATTAAAACTGAGGAGACACCCCTCAGGGACCCTTTATCGTTGCATTGTAGCCCTTCGCAGCTTAACAGCCAAGCGACTTCACAACACGGCAGCAACACGATATTGCCCAAAGATAATTAATCTGTTAACGGGGATTAGCAGTGGTCTAACCCCTCACTCACTTCACACTGAAATACCAGAGGCACACTTCTACCACCAACCCCCACCTACATCCACGCACACTCCCATCAACCTGACCAATCTCTGTCCAGACTACCACACTGAACCTTGACCAGATTACCGAGAGAAAGAGTAAAAATGCAGAGCTGCCAGCCAAGTGTGCGCGCTAAACAATAGTGAAAAGAGATTTTATAAAAATCCACTCACATGTTGGATGCAAAACAGTGAACTCCTGCCTTTGACAGCACTGTTTGGCTGCGACGTGTCGAGAGCTAATGTGAGGTAGAGATGCGAATAAGCACACATAGATGGGGTGAGAATATGGGTAGATGCAGGGAAAGGCAAGTTAAAACACTGAGGAGAGGAAAAAAGTGGGTTCCCAGAGAGTGATGCTGAGAGAGAGAGCGAGAGAGGAGGGCGGGAGAGAGATGGAGTGAACAATGAATTGAGAGAGGGGGAAAGCGGCAATGGATTTTAAGGCAAAACTAGTTTTCAGTGAAGGCTACAGAACAACACTGATTCACTGAGGAGGCAGAGGAGAACATGCAACAACGACAGAAGTGATGAGAGCGCACCGATGGAGATGCTCTATGGGCGATTTGGTTGAGAGAAGCAAAGTGGAGATAGGATGGTGACACACAGCAAGAGTATAAAGAGTATGGTGTTTGTCTGTCATTGGAGAAAAGGGGGGCAGAGGCGAGTGAGCAAAGAGGGAGGGGGCGGTGTTAGTTTTTCTGTGTCACTGAAAGAGAGTGGGGGAAGGGAGGCAGGGAGATAATGCCAGCTAGGGAGCAAACAGTAGCGAGCCAGAGAGCATACTCACTGACTCATATAGCCCATGTATAGTGTATGTATGTGTTTGTCTGTATCTGGGAGGAAGCGGGGAAAGATGACAGAAAATTATATTATGTATGCAAGAGCTTTTCAGGGAGCATTTACACAGCAACAGCAACAGAACTGCATCCAGGCCATCCATCACTGCACTGATAAAATATCACTACTCGCAGGATTTAAAATAACCAACTCAATATTTAATGACCTTGGTAATCTAGTGGTTAAAATTCATTGTAAAAGCATACAGAGCCATCGGTCTTATGGAACACAGTCCATTCAGTTTTCATTCATAAAAACAGATTGTATACATTTTGGAATTACGAGTGGCAGAATCCAACCACTTTGGTTCATTCACGGCTATAAAGAAAACCTAATAGTTTCCCTTCATAAACACTTTATGCCATGTACAAATGCCTTTATGGCAGGTGTATATGTCCGGTCTGTGTAGTTGTGAAACAGTAGATATGGTGGTGGATAAGTTGCCCACCAGATAATACATTTCTTAATATTTTAAACACATTAGGTATTCTACTCAGGGGGTCCAGAGAGTTTAATGACAGAAGAAAAATCTCTGCTTCTACAGCAGATGATGTGTGCACTGACAGTTGATTTACACTGAGGGCTCCCTTTTGACTAGAGTTGCAACTACTGTGATTATCAATCAATCTGTTGAGTATTTTCTCAATTGAAATTATTCATTTTAATCAATAACATTTTAGAAAAGAAAAATTGCTTCAAATTGCCTCTTTATTTTAACCAACAGTCAAAAAACACACATTTGCATGTTAATATTACTATAACATAAGACATAGTACAGCAGCATCAGCATGTCTTTACAGTGGAAAAGCTAGAACTAGGGAATTAATGACATCTAATGTAGGCCCTTAATGGATTAAAAGGCATTCAATAAGGTAAATACATGTATTTGAATCATATTGTAATTTAAGTGTAGTGGAATCCACTCGCATCTTAAAAACATTTAGAATAATTGAAAATTGTGTGTTTGCCATTGTGCTGCAGTCCCACAGCACGTTACATTTTACTTCTTTTAGGACTTCATATAAAAATGTTTGTTTTACCCAAGATATCATTTCAAGTGTATCTTATCTGAATTAACTTAACTTAAAACACACACTTATTTAGTAGATAAGGCCACATGGCCAGTGCAAATGTCAGAGGTATTATATCCAGTCATACCCATTAGGTGCTAACCTGCATCTATGTAGTGTGTGTGTGTGTGTGTGTGTGCATTTGTGAGTGTGTAAAATGGGACACTCTTCTATCATCTAAGAGTTACTGTGCACACAGTCTCATAAAAACCATCTACTTTGGGACCGCCCATGGCACAAAGGTGTAAGGTGTTCACTGGTAGACGGCCAAAATTTAAACCCTTCCCCACCTTCATGTGCCCCACCTCTTCAAAAATCCTGTCTCCCTCCTTGCCATCTACCTTGGCCAGTGTGAGGTGGTAGCGTGGGTTGTAGGAGTCCCTGTGGAGCCAGCCCTCCTTCCTGTAGGCCTCTTGCAGGCCGCTGTTGAGCTGCTGGAGATGAAGCTGAGGCTGGGGGCTCAGGAACAGCACCCTCCCATTGAAATGTTTCAGTCTCACAGGGAAGGTTAGAGCCACGGGGGGGTTTCGATCCAAATGGGCAAACCGTCGGAGGATCTCTCTGGCAGCGGCTACCTCAGCCGGGCCGGGCAGCGACAGGAGGCACAGGGTGACGTGAAGGCTGGACGCAGTCTGCCAGTAAGGAGCAGAGGAGGGTAGAAGGGAAGTGATCTCCTCCTGCAGCTGCTGGAAAGAAGAGAGGATAGCGGGAGTGTTGGCCCTGAAGGTGATGAAGTGAGTGGGTTGTTTCTTTGGAGGACGACCACCACCATGCACCTCCTCTCTCTGCTCCAGAGGTGCTGATGGATTCTGGCTCTGTGTATAATAGAGCAGGAACATAACGACAATCACCGTGTTAAACATGAACTGGAATAGCAGACCAAGAACGTATTTCAGGGTGGACTGTGTTGTCACCCACCGTAGCATCTTCATCCTCCCAGCTTTCTTGCCATTCTGCAGAGGTCTTTTCCTCACCCTCCTCGTTTACACAAGCTCCTTCGTTTTGTGGTAAGGACATTTGATCTATTGAAACCTCAAGTCTAAACAATCAAAACAGGTGAGTAAAATTATTCAAGAGGCAGGAGAGCAAGATTGCTTTCTAAGACACACAATTTCCTAAATGTGTTAAGTGTGTGTTAAGTCTTAATTTGAAATAAAGAAAACCGAGTTCTGAGTTCTAACTTTGTGTTAATTGTTATATACCAAATATATAGGTTTTATTTTTATATTAAAATCCCTATGTTATTTATTTTTGATGACTACATACAGTATTAAGTTTCTCCAGTCAAACTGGGGCAACTAGCTAATCCACCCATCACATAAAACAGCACTTGACAGCTAATGGGTTGTAGAAGCTAGCAGAGCAATATCCCGGGTCAGAGTGTGTCTTTGTTCACACATCTTAAAGACTGTGGTGTAGGACGGATATATTCATTTCTCCCTCTTCCAGTCCTCTACAGCTCCACTCTGCAATGCCATATTCATTAAGCCATGCACGCTTTAGAATCTAATTGGATTGCTCCAAAGCTAAGAGCAATCCAATCAAATGTGAAGGATCTGATATAAATCATTCTCTTCTCACTGAAATTCTATTTTAGATCTGCAAATAATGTTTATTATAATTTCCCACAGTCCGAGGTGACGTCATTAAATGTCTTGTTTTGTCCAAAACCCACAGCCATTCAGTTTACTATCATCTATGACAAAGAAATGCATAAAATATTTAATCAAATTTGAAAAGCTGGAACCAGCAAACATTTGATATTTTTGCTTAAAAAAGAATAAAACTATTATTTGATTATTAACATTGTTGCAGAAAATGTATTTTATGTTGATCGACAAATTGTTGCAGCTCTAACTTCTGTGACTTTAAGTTGATACTTTGGATTAAAGAAACAGGCTGAGTATGAAGACACTAAAAATGCTATTCTTTTGTGTTGCTATGTGTTCTCAGTTAAATTTAAATGATGAGCATGAACACCAGACCTAATTACAGCCTCCTCCAGAACACGTGCTCCTCGTGATTCCTGTTGCTCCTGAGAAGTGTTTCCTCTACACTTTGGAGCTGCTTGTGCTGAGTCAGGGGTATGAGTATTCCTCTCACTCGGCTTCTCTTCCTCCAGATGTGTGTTCTTGGTATTACTGCAGTCCTCTGTTTTACTCTCTTCCTGCCCACGGACAGCAGGTGGCTGCTCCTCTGTTGTATTAAGGAGGTCTTGTTGTTGTTGTTCTTGGGCTTCTGTGTTTATTTCTTGTGAAAGAAATGGTTTTATTTGGTCATGTTATATCGTGTAGAGTGTGCTGGCTTTTGTAAATTTTGTGTAAGTTTGTAATTGGGGTAGCACTAAAAGGTCCTCTCTTACCCTTTACTTCCGCCTCTCCTCCAAAGGGGGGAGCCAGAGATTGACCAGTGGAACCAAACACCCTGTCAGTCCTGCTGTGGCGGTCCCAGACCCGGTGCCCTCTGTAGGTGAAGTACTGGATCCTGTGTCTGGGCAGGGCCATCTCAGTAGAGTAATCACAGTCGCAGAGGTCGGTGTCCCAGTTGAAGTCATTGAAAGGACGTTCCAGCACACCAAGAAAGCGATCCACATACCCCACTAAGAATTCGGATGAATCCACTGACGGGTCCCACAGAATCCGAGAGATAACTTCATCAGCTGTGCGCATGCGAGGCTTTTTGTTCACCTCTGCGTGAGATTAAGATATAAAATAAAGCGTCAAAATATATTAATGTACGAAAAAAAGGGATTAAAGATTAAAAGAAGTTACATTGGCCTCTTAAGATGTTGTATGCTGTCATTATCAGATGACAATGTAAACTAGCTAGATATAGAGTGACCTTTCGCCTCGTTGTATTTTGGCTTTGTTGCTTTGTTGACTTTCCTCTTTTGTTTTTCCACCTTCTCTCGATCCTGTTCGTCATTTTGGTCAGGAGGCGCAGACCCTGAATCATCTATTGATGGGTCACTATGAAAAAGGAGTAAAAGCTAAAGTGGAAAGATTATCAAAATGTACATTCTCTTAAAGCATGACAAATGGAAGAAGATTTCTAAATTCCATTGGACACTGATTCATGTCTGAACTTTGTGCAGCACCCATATTTAGTCATGGCGTCAAGTATCAGTCTCTGTCTGGTGTGCAATATGATCTGTAATTAACAACTGAAATAAAAAAATACAGAACAAGCTCCTCAATTTCCAAAGAGACTGTTTTTCTAAAACCAGATAGAGCTTAGCAATAAGGAATTAACATTCAGACAGCCATCTATTTAATACCAGCCTTTGTGATATGGTAATCTGCAAATCCATTTAATGTTGCAGTTATTAAAAATGAATTATGTTCATGTCAACTAGGAAATTAAAATTCATCTTGCTGGTGAGTTTGCTGAACAAGATAAGGCGAGCAGACCTGTGAGTCAAGCGACATCTGTGGCCAAAATGACACTTTCCCATCAGGAAAAATTGGCACACGTTGACCCCATCCTCATCCCGTTGTGCTGATTCTGTCGATGATAGAGTGACAGTAAGCAAGACAGACATGTCATTAAACTGTAATGAAAGTGAGCAACATCCCGATCTGCATTTCAGTTAAGTTAAAGAAACTTAGGAAATGTAGCGTGCCTGCCCCATAATTCTGCTGCTACAGTCAATACTGAACTGAGGAACCCACCAGACAGGTGAACCTAGAAGCCAAACTGAGAAAGAGTAAGGTAGTGGGTGCTGAAGAGAGGGAATACAGGTATAAAGGAAAGTCACACCCTGCTCGTGCATGTCCTCAGATTAGAGCATTCACTATTTACTAAAGCAAGCTGGATAAATGAAAATAACACTTATAGCAACATATAGCATTATGTGAGATTCATACTTGGAGCAGGGAACGAAGTACCTGTTTCTGCTGTTTTTTTCTGCACGTGTTTCCAATACGGTAGAGTTGCGACTCCTATACAAGCCTCCATGTCCCTGAAATATGTTTATGTGTGCCAGGTCACAGATGTCAGGAACTATGATCCCAGATCCCTAATCCTGTCCTTAAAAATCAATTTTACTCGATTCCTTCTGGTCCTTATATTAAGCAGGTCTGAAACTACACTTAACAATTCAAATCAAAAATAAATAAGTTAGTAATCCCTAAGAGGAAACTGGCAGTGGGAAAAAATTATGTGTATAACATTATATTTCCTCCACGATCCAAAGAGTATCAATCATGTAACAGGTGGCAATGACTCCCCCAGAGGACTCAAATGTCAAGCCAAGTAGATGGGACGCTATTGCCTGTAAACTCAAACACATGCCACACATGCTGCAACCCTATTTCCAGATAGGAGAACTGGAGGTGATTCACAGCCCAAACCCTTTATGTATTTGCTGTATTATCAGAGATAGCTGGCGCAGGCTCCCCAGATCATGGGGGAACATGAGCAGACGTCTAGTCTTTCAACTGCTTCCAGACGAAAGATTTCAGTGCAACTGACTGGAAGTAACTGGGTAAAATAATTATTATGAAGGCCTGTTTTCGTAGGAAAGTTTATCTGGATTTGAGCCCAGTGAGACAAGTGGGAGTATATGGAGACCATAAAGATTCTCATATTGGATTTGGAGGTTAGAGGCGGCTCTTGACTCACTTCCTGACACTTTTCCAGCAGAGCTGGCCAACATAGTGAAGGGAAAATGTTGGATGTCATTACAGTAGTCCACACACTCATTCAGCTTTCCTTTTCACAGCAAGGGGCTCCAGGCACATAATAGCATAGACTAAATAAGACCTTACCAGAACTCACATTGCTCACAGTAACACAGACGTGTTGTAGACTGAGGAATTTGATAATAGTCAGTTACTTATAAAGGAGTCAGAGACTGATTTCAGTAATAACAGTCACTACTAGATCTACTGTACATGTTGTATATACATACATGTACAATCTGCTCAATATGTGATGCATTATATGGACTTACCTATCGTTAAATAATGTCTCAAATGAAGTTAATAACCCCTGTAGACCCATTTTAAAAAAACAAACAGAATCAGTATGTGTAAAGCTACACAGGGTAATTTACCTTCTGTGGCTTTTAGGGTGACTTTGCCACTGTTGGAATCAACGGGGACCCCTGCCTCTGTGAAGTGGGTCCCATCATCTCTGTGGTCCTCTGGTCCCCCTAATCCGTCTGATGCCATGCCCAAACCTGTGATTTAAAATGCAAAGTTACTTAAAAGAAATGCTGGGCTGTATCACTCTGGTGTTTGCTGCTACACCTTTGTTTTCTTTGTTGGATCTGACAGAAAGACAAAGTACAATCGGGCACTCCTAAAACTGTAAAACTGAGTTCTCCACTCCAATTTAGCTAATGCGGAAATGATTGGTTAGCGTTGTACGATATTACAACCCTTTAAAATACAACAACTCCTGAAATAATTATCGTAATATTTACAACATAAACACGTCCATAAAACCACCTGGAAAATGTACTTTCTTTTAATTATTGACATACTAACCAAAGGAGCAAACGATTCTGACTTTTTAATCGAACTTTGACCCTCAGGGTTTTTTTTTAGCTCATCTGGAATTCTGGGTAATGCAGTTTCTATCTGTTTTTCGTTGAACATGCTTTTGTGGAAACATTACATGAAGCCCGATATTAGCAAATACAGCTGCTGTTTGCTGACTCTCATATGATTTAAAAAATACTCGAGATGTTTTTGATTCAACGATTAAAATTGAGAAAAGGTAGAGCTGCTTACTGCCACGCGTCACTCGTGTTCGAGTCATAGACTGTAGAGCGCGTGACTCTGAATCACATGATATGCTCTGTTATTGCCAGTTACCAGCTACACAGAAGGAAAACAGAGCAAGAAAGGTGGAAAATCCCTAAATCTGAGGCATTGAGGATCATGGATTTTGGAAAAACGGACTCATTGAAGAATTGAGTTTGTTTTATACCTCTGTTTTAATATGCTGCTTTTTATAACGGCTTTATGGACATCGCGACAAATGAATGTCCTTTTGTGAGGTACCACTGAGCACCAGTCATTTGTTGAACTTGGCTCTGTACTGAAGGTAAGACTATGTGATACTAACAGCTTGAATGACCTAGTGTGACCTAGTGATGTCAGTGACTGACCAGAAATTATGTAATGAACTGCTTGTTAACGCTTACATCAAAATCAAACCATATTCAGCACAATAAACGTGAATTTTCTCCCTCTCAGATGAATGCTCTGGTAGCTCTCTGTCACTTCTGTGAGCTCCATGGCCCTCGGACGCTGTTTTGCACTGAGGCACTGCACCCTCCATCTCCATCCCCTTCATCCCAGGCAGGTGTCCCAGTGCATGGGGACGGGGACAGGGACCGAGATGGTGACCGGGAAGGTGAAGGGCTGACTATGAGGGCCAACAGCTCGGCCTCGCAGAGGGGAGAAATGTGTGACGTGAGTGGAGGGTGACATGCCAAGGACAGAATGCTTATCAGAAACTTGTCTCCATTTGAGCTGAACCACCCTTCTCTCTTCTCTCTGTCTACACTATAACACTCTTGCTATAACCTTTTTGCTATGCAGGTGAGTCCATATTCCTGTCATCTGTCTCAAAGTATTATTTTCCTCTTCTCCTTGCCTCATAGGGATGTCGATCTCTTCCTGCATCTCATCCAGGCTTTGTGAGCATTGATGATGAAACAGGTATACGCTTCCTGAGCCACCAGCATCCCAGACAGCCACAGCTGTTCAGCGTGGTCCGCCAGGCCTGCGTACGCAGCCTCAGCTGTGAGGTAAACAGTGACGTACGTCTGTATGTATGTGTGTGTGAGTCACACGTCTCATGCCATCTCTCAAACCACTTTTCTTATTCCTCTGTCACCACATTTACTTCCACCTATCGCCTCTCTGTCTGTTTCGTCAGGTGTGTCCCGGCCGTGAAGGGCCAATTTTCTTTGGAGATGAGCAGCATGGTTTTGTGTTTTCACACACCTTCTTTATCAAAGACAGCCTCGCCAGGGGCTTCCAGCGATGGTACAGTATTGTCATGGTAGCAATGGACAGGATCTACCTTATCAACTCCTGGCCTTTCCTGTTGCGCCATCTTAGACTCACTATACAGAGCCTGCAAAGCACAGCCCTCAAGGTAGGGTAGACACATGGACATATCATGCCTTTAATCCGTTTACTCAAATAGGAACATGAAGACTTATTCCAAAGGTATGTATCTATTTGGTCACCTAATGTCTTGGTGCTGTACTCTCCATCAGGTGTTTGACAATGAGCAAGGAGTTTGTCCCCAGCGAGCAGTGAGGATGAACAGTGTCTTTTCACCTGCAGTTTTCCCGCACCAAAGGAGTGGCAACGCAGCCCGATCACTAACGTCTCTTACCCAGCATCCCAACCTCTGGGCCAGCCTGCACTCCTCCTTTAGCTGGTGAGTCGATGTACTGTCAGTCCCACTATATCACACAAGCAGTTGTCTTTATCCAAGTAATCACTTACCTTGACCTATATTTGTGTTTTCACATTGTCTCCAGGCTGCTGAAGGCCTGTGGTAGTCGTCTGACAGAGAAGCTGCTGGAGGGAGCCCCCACTGAGGACACACTGGTGCTCATAGAGAGACAGACTGGTAAATACATTGTCTTTAATTTAACAGGGTCAGGCAACTATTATGTAACTTTTGTTTTTACCCAAGTAACACCTGTTCAAGAAAAACTGTCCAGTGACAAAGCAAAAACAATGGAAATATAATTTACTTGGGCAACGCTTCAATATGTCTTGCCTTCCAGGAAAGGTTAGGCCTCTAGATGGAGGATGATGTCACCAGATGTCAGATGGTTTTATCATCAGTCTGAAAAGTCTCTTGTATGAGTCTGATTCACTGGGTCAGTCAGTGCGGAGGCACTAAAAAAACAAAGTGATTAATTTAAGCATTGTACTCAAATACACTGCCTTTCCAGAAAGGGTTTTCACAATTATCAGTCAAGATTTAGAAAGTGATTAAAAGATTAGATATTTAAGTCCAGCACAGCTCTTAGATTGTGGAATTTTAATACCCCTTACACCCATATTAATATTGTGAGTAAATTAACTTTTTTGTAGCATTTACAACATAATAAAATAAATAAATTCATCAAAAATAAGCGATCTTAAAGCAGCTCATATAAAAATGCCAATGTGTACAAATAGATAAAAAGTTTTTTTTTAATAGTTTTTTTAATGTGGTACAGATTCGGTAATTCTGATACTGCAGGGAATGTGCTGACTTGTATCAGTGGAAGTCTGGTAGGATTGGTATTGAAATTATCATAGATTATTATTATTTTACCCAGTTACATTATTGTCATAGATAAGTGGAGAGCTTATACAGTACTGAAGTTGGTTCGAAAATAGAGTTGATATAGAGCCAGATCTTTTTAATAATTTCCTGGGGAATCTCCCCATTTGTAATGAACTTCGGCTTGAAAACATTTGGTCATCGCTATTTCTATTTTTATGTCATTCTCTGTTTCCAAAAGAGCAAGAGGAGGAAATGAGCTGCTGGGAGGGAGCAGAAGGAGGCGGTTCTAAGTCACAGCGGCACCCATCGGAGACCGAGCTGGGCCACGACTTCCTGTTTGATGACGCAAAATTAGATGAATTACCCGGTCCAAAGTTTTGGTCCCTGAGGCATTTGAGACAGGTAAAGTTAGGGACGTTTTTTTAGCTTGTCAATTTGTCATTCATAATTATGTTAAATTAACTATGTAAGTTTTCAGAAAACTGAAAAAGAAAGGAGATTAAAAAGCTCAGTTACATTGTTTCCTCAACCTCCGACTAGGAAGAGCATGACAGACAAGATTTAGTTTTTTGCAAGAATTTATAGTTTTTTGGCACAATCTGATACATTTTAGTCATTCACAATTTCAAGGTTCAAGGTACATTTCATTCATTTCATGTCATTCTACAACGCAAGCCTGCACAATGAAATTCCAATTGTAGCCCCCTTCACGCTGCACACACAGAACATATACACACATGTTAATTTACAATTAGAATAGAACAACAATTAAAATAATTAACAATAGCACACATACTGTATCTATGAGTTCCTGTACATCACATTCTGATTTGTTCTGCAGGTCCTCGGGGCGGTGGAGTTTCGTCAGCTGGTGTGGCATGTGCTCATGGGAAATCAGGTCATATGGAGAGGCGCAGACCCCGGGCTCATTCAATCAGCTTTTACTGTGCTCAGGGTACTCTACTCCTATGCTACTGTATCCCTTTCTTCCTTTCTTTAGGAGAGATAGTGTCATTATGATGTGGGGAAATATAATTAAGACAAGGGGTAACACCTGTGAGGATCCTCATCAGTTGAGCTACGGCGTAAATAATGCGCCATTAGTTAAATGCAGCTTAGTATAACACAATTGTAACTACAATCATCTAACATTAAACACTTACGTTTCATGTTATGATTAATTAAAAATGACTAATACCGTCTTAAATAATCATCTTCATGTGATATAAACTGATTACAGTTGATTGGGTTTCAGTTAGTTTTCCTTAAAGAAAAAATGTTCATTCACTTAAGTAAAGTTTGTTGTTGTTTTTTTCTAACTTCCAGTTCTTGCCTGAAGACATATTATTGTTTATGTTCCCATTACACACCTTGAACTTTCCATTGCCTGTACATGCTTCTCTCATCTTTCTATGCAACAAGACAGAGCATGTAGCAGTTTTCATTATACAATTATTGTTCCTTGTGACTGTTGAAAAATATTTGAGTTTAAATAATTGGTAATAATCTTTATATTTTTTTTTCAATATCCGTTACCGAAAACATAGCAGCACATTTTCTGCTGCTTTTAATAGTGGGAAAAGCTGTTACTAATAACAATAACAGTAGCTCTGTTGTATTCCAGTGTCCTGGTAAGTGTAACAGTGTGGCAGCATGAAGAACACCAGTACCCTTAAACTGAAGCACCTAAATGGAATTCAACCATGAATCATTTTATTACTTACACCTGTGCTTTTCCTACTGAGACTTGTCAAAATGCCATCCATGAAAAAGGCAGCCACCATGTTTATAATCTGAATCTTTTGTCCTGTTTCCCATCAGTCTTTGCTCCCAGTAGGCTGTGTGCGTTCTGTGCCATACAGTGCTCAGTATGAGGAGGCCTACAAATGCAACTTCCTGGGTCTCAGTCCAGATGTCCTTATTCCAACCCATGTCAGCTCCTCAGGTACAACACAGTCCATAGACTTACACTGTGATAGATTACTGTGTGAAACCTCACAGAGAGCTGCTGTTGCAAACTGCAGGCTTGTTGATGCAGGTCATATCGTGTTGACTTAATTTTCCTTTTGTTCGTCCTGCAGAGTTTTCAGTGCTGGTGGATGTCAGTTCAGAGAGAGGCTGTCAGATTTCATCCATGGGTGAAGACGATATCTCCTCACTTTATCAGTTCACCATCAGCAGTGCCAACACACAGCCCACAGACAGGGGTGAGCGCACATACCTACATTTATAAATAGTCACTGTAGGTTTGCTGCCACTCACAGTGTCAAAAATATGCAGTCCTTTTAGACCTTTTTTTCACTGATTATTTAGATCTGAATCTGCATCAAAGTGATGCTCATGTGGGCCAGGTTTAATTTGTTTCATTTGTTTGTGCTCTTTTTCCAGGTCCCTTGTTATTGAACAAGCTGGAGGTGGCCCTGTCTAACGAGAACTTGTCTGTGGACGTTGTATCGCACTGCCTGTTGTGTCTGAAGGAAGAGTGGATGAAGTGAGTAAAATGCATTGTTAATATGAAGACCACCTGGGTTTAAGTAAGACTTTACCACTTTGCATACGAAAGCCTTCTCATAATTGATTCTCTCTATTTCAGTAAAGTCAAAGTGCTGTTCAAGTTCTCCAAAGTGGACGGGCGAGGGAGGGAGGATACCCAGAAGGTTCTGGCCCTCCTTGGTGCCACTGGGCCTGGCGAGGAGGACAATGTCAGGCTGCTCAAGTTCTGGATGACTGGACTCAGCAAAACCTACAAGAGCCATTTAATGACAGCTGTCCGAGGAGGGGAAAGGAGTCCCAGCCAGTGACAAAGAGAGGTGAAGAAAGAGGAGGAGGGAGGGTTAGAGGGAGAAAAGGGGGCTTAAAAGAAGGGGGAATACTAAAGGAAGGAAAGTGAAAGCAAAATGTTTTTATCAGCCGGGACTTTCAGCATGATAAAAGAGGAATGTGAATGGATCAAATCTTTGGCATCATCCATTATTGCCTTTTTAAGTAATGGGAAATCTACTGTTCCTAATCCTGCACAGACTAACAAATTCAGTCAGTCTGGATAATGTATGAGCATTTTTGTTTGTCAAAGGGAATTACTGTAAAATACCTATTCATACTAATATGTGAAGTTTAACTTATTACAGAACGACTTTGCACTTTGTTTACTGTTTTGCTTATGTTTTAAAATGAAATAAACAAATGTGAATGCTCTGAGGTCCTTGTTTTTTTCTTCTTTTTTTTATTCCACAATTGGCTCCATCTGGTGGCAAATAGAAAGAACTAAGAAAGTGAGCAACAGCGAGTTGGAGGAGGAGAGCAGCATTTTTCTGCCAGCTCCCACTCACTTGTTTGACTGGCTGACAGCCAACAAGTCTCAGTTGGTGTAATACAACACTTTTAAGGTTTTCTGGTGTTCTGTACAAAATCGTTGCATAACACGCCCTTGCTCTAGTACGGCCGACCACATCAGCAGGATTTTGGCTGCCTAATGAGCCAGTCGCACACTGATCCACTAAAAAGCAGAGTTTTTCCTTTTCATTCCACAGTTATTTGAGCCTGCCTTGCTGAAGCTTCAGTCAATAAAATTCGGCAACATACGGCTTTGTTTAAATTGCGGAGGCTGCTCTTTTTCTTTGTGACATAAACTTTTACATAGAAATAACTACATCATTTGTAGTAAATTACAAGGAAAAATTAATTTGTATACATCAGCAGTGACTAGCTTTCCTTGTAAAATGGATAAGATAATGGAACTTCTCAATATTGCTACTACGCTACTGTGTCCTAATAGACTGACTTTTTTTGTTATGCTTTTCTCTGCCTAACTCAAATCTGGATTTCATTTTGCAAGTTTCACTAAATTGAAGCACAAACATGATGTGCAACACCCCCACATATCAGTTAGATATTTACTTCCCTCAATATGCAAGCGATGAATTAAACAGGAAGACGTCACGATGACTGGATATTTATGCTCGTCTTTAAAACACATACTATAAGCGAAGAGGTTTCGAATTGATGATGCCTCTGGGAGCATTGATGCTTTGCTCTCTAGTTTCCCTTTCCCCTGAACAGAGATGGGACTTTGGGAAACGTTCTTGCTTCTTTTGGCTTGTGTTCAAAAAAAGGACACACAGCAGAACAAGCCCTCTTTGACACAAAAAAACTACTTTTTACTTCCTTCCTTTCATTAATAATTACCCCTTCTCCTGACATCTAACACCAAAACCAAAATAACACAACACTTCACATAACCTGAGGGGACAGAACAACACATTACAAACAGGATGATGACAGCAGTGCCCAAAATTACACATCACAATTGCACTATCCACCTCTGTGGAGACACTTTTAACAGTAATGACTACAGAAAGCTGTCACATGTGGAATGACTTGCAGGTTCTGGCAATGTAGTGTTGCAATACTCTTTGTCAGTTGTTCAAGGAATGTGATTTTTCATTAAATATAAAAAAAATAGATCATGTGATGATTAAGCAGGATGCCATTGCGCACTGACTTTGGAGGGATAAAGACCAAGGGATCCACAGGGACAGAGGTGTGGGGGAGAGTCCAAATGAAAAACATACGCTCCAACTGCATGACTAAGCCTCCTTGGGCCTGTTTTGGAGGGGGGAGGATAAGGGTAAGAGGGTGGGTGTCAGGGAATGTAGGGGCGCAGGGGGGGAGGGGGCCGGGTCAGTCAATAGTGAGGTAAAACGTGTGGCAGTGGGAGTGGCCGAGACTTAAAGGGAGCAGACAAGCAATCCCACATAGCACTTTCACTTTGAGCGGAGTGAGGATACACAGAGTGGCCAGAGGGAGAGATAGAGAAGAGCAGGCCAGTGTCCCTCCCGCTTTATCCATTAACCAGTTTCGAGGGAGAGGGGAGTGAATCAAATTAGGCTGTTCAGGAAGATTCTAGGTCAGTAGTGAGAGGGAGAAAGGGAAAGGGAAAGAGATATAGTAAAAAACAAACAAAAGCTTTCATAGGAAAAGGCTCCAGCCAGTCAGGCTTAAGTGGGAAAATCCAAAGTGAGAGAGCAGGATGGCGTGAGAGGATAAATGAGGCACTTTTTTGGAAAGTACAAAAGGAACTCAAAAGGAAGGAATGTGTAAAGGGATGTCAGCAAGAAGACTAAATATCAAGCCGTGAAGCAGACACAGCAACGTGCTCTGTGTCAAAGACCTCAAGAAACCACAGAGGAGGGAACTTTGCCTTTCACAGACTGACACAGAAACCCGTCTGCAGAGTGATTGCCGTCAACAAGAGAAATGGAGAAGTGTCCATTCTTAGAAAGATAAAAAGGATGTCACTGCCAGGTGAGAAACAACTACTAGGAGCATGTTATTGCATTTTGCAAACTTTCTTTTCAACGTCTGTAGGAAAATAATGGAACTTTGGAACTGGTTATTAAATAGTCAATTCTAATCTGGGAATTACAACTCATTTGTTGTGTCATTTGTGCTTTTACAATAGCATTTCCGGTGTCTTAATTCAATTATAAATGTTGCAACGACAGACCATGTTGCATTGTTTTTCTGCAGAAATAGGTAATTGAGGCAGGAAATGATGTGATGTTCCTTAGTGGGTATGCAGTTTGAACAACCACAGAAAGTTTCCATCAATTATCTGAATGTGTTTAAGAATTGAGTCTCTTTCCTTCTTACTCATGCCTCAAACAGTTTTGCTGTTGCTATCACTCTTGACTGTCCAATGTGGTGGATGTGACTTTGACTGTGAAGGTGTGAAAAACATTAAAGCGACAATCGACTCCAATCCGACTGGATTTGTAAGTTAAAATGTTTTTACTTTGTTTTATGATTTATGATTCCTTTTAGTTTTTCTAAAGCATTCTCTCTGTAGGAATGATTTTTGTTCTTACCAACTGTATTTAATATGCTTTAAAGAATACAGTCACTTTTATTGACTGTCTTCCGTTAGTTGTTAGAAAGAGGTGGTCAAAGTTGAAGATCTTTCTCTTTGATGATAATGATCAACTCCACCTTGTCATTTCATAAATTATCAGATGAGAAGTTTACGACTGACACGTGTGGCTCTTAAAAGTCAAAGGAATTAAATAATGTGTAGTTTCACCTCTGTGGTTATGTTGTTTTCTTTACATTTTTATGTTGTCATTACTATAGTTCAGTATAGTAATCATTACAATATTAATTCTAACTAATTTAATCCTGTGTGGCTTTATTCTCACCTTTTTCTTTGCTTTTGTTTTCTCTTCCAGCGGACAGTATTTCCTAAAGATTACTATGTAGTGCACCACTACACAAAAAGCATGCTCTGTGAAACTGATCCGGTGAGTTCTTTATCAGATAAAAAGGGGAAGTGAGGTACTATTTGCAATAAATTAGTCATACACCGGCTTTACCTTAAAGCAACTTTTGGTCTCTTTAACAGGACAATCGATAGCTTTTACCTAATCTCCAGCTACTGTTACCGGCCTTGTAAATACTTGGTTTAGCAAAAGATTGTTGTACCATGTAGCCAGGAGTCTTGCATGTAATTGAACAATTGATGTGGTTGTTGTGGTGAGCAGTCACATGTGCCTTGCACAATAAACTTAACTTTGGGGTTGTTCTGCTGTTCCCTGCAGTGTTGTGTCTTCCCTGCTGCAATAGTGCTTCTGGATTCCTGGCATGTGCTTCTCAGAAACCTCTGGGATGAGCACCTAAACCACTCCCTAATCCTCGATCTCAAACAGACACTGGATAAAATTATAAAGAAGAACAAAAACACAGAGGTAGGGTTTTCTTTCAAATATATCTTACCATAATACCTTGACTTGTCTTCAAAAGTTCAAAATACAGAATGTATTCTGCAAAAAATGTTAAATAATGTTTATTTCTTTTGTTTCAAACATGAATTATTAATGTAAAGGTACATTAGTAAGAGTTGTGCTCCTGGAAGCTTCTTAACCTTTGACTGTAAATCTTTGATTGTTCTTTATTTTCTTACCACAGAGGTTCCAGGAGGAGACGGACCTGGCCCAATTCTCCACATTATCTTCCTCTCCTGAAGAACTCCTCAAGCTCACGTCAGAACTTTTTGCTCGATGGCTCGACGTTGGGGCCCTACCTTCTATTGAAACTTGCACCCTGCCCACTTTGCCCCCCTCTGTGGAGAGGAAGGACTACGGTCCCTCGAGGGCCAGACTCTTGACTACAAGAGCTATCGGCAGCGCGGAGGAAGGACAGCCTGACAAGAAGACAGACATTACACTGCACCCGTCCAACAGTGGCCCTCCATCCCTATCCTATTACGCTTCTCTCTGGAGCCCCTTGCTATTCAGACTCTATTGGTGGCTGTTGCCATAGTTGCTAAAAAAGATCTTTTTGATGATGCACACAAAATGCAAGACATTTCCTGGCACTGAATGTTTGTTTTCTTATATTTGTGTCTCTGCTTTGTTAATATGAAGTTACATGCACAGGTTGCATTTAATGCCAAAAGCTAGTTCACATAGCTAAGCTCACTGTCCAACAGTGTTCTGTAACAACTGATATCACACATATTAACGTATAGCCATCCTCTCTAGAGCAAGCCACGAGCTCCAGCTAGCTATGCTCTTTATGCTAACCAGAGATAAATGCTGAGCAAGCCAATGCACATAAGCCATCGTCTGTTGATGTGGAATTCATCACTGTTTACAGAATACGAATGTTATGTAAATGTAAGATATTACAGTTTAAGGGCGTTTACTTTTGTACATAATTCTAAATTAAAGACATTTAGATATATACATTGTTAGTTTTTGGTTTAACTTACTATAATATAATATAATATAAGATAATAACATAATATAATAATATCCTAAGAGTTGTAAGCTATATTTATTGTGGTCTTTGCTGTTTGTCATCTGTAATAGAAAGTACATTCAATCAAGTACTGTACTTAAGTACAGCTTTTGAGGTATACTTGTACATACTTTATGTAGTATTTTCACTTTCTATACTTTCTTTCAACTGGAAATATTGTAATTTGTACCCCACTACATTTATCTGAAAGCTGGAGCTACTGGTTACTTTACAGATATGATACATTTAAAATACTGTTAAAATTGGCTTGCTTAGTGAATCAACAATACTAACCTAAAATAATTATTATAGCAATCACAGGGACTATTTTTCTGCATTAAGTACTTTTACTTTTGATACTTTCAGTACATTTTTCTGACAATGCTTGCATAGTTATACTTCAG